TTTAAGAAAGAGTGATCATGCAATCAACTCGTTCACGTTTTTGTCTGAGACGGCCCATCAAACAGTTGCGCCGGTATGCCAAAACATATGGAAGCCAGATATGGATGTAGCATCGGCTGAAAACCAGATAACTGACTGACAGGCATCAGCAAAAGAGGTATGGACTTATTTCGGGCAGTTTTACAATCAATTAACTCAACCATATATACCCTGGACAGTCCCAAAGAAGAAGAAGCATGGCCACTCATGGATAGGCCAGGATATTCGACTTTTACTAAGACAAAAGAAGAAATGTTAGAACTTTGCCATGAGTCATGGCACAGCAAGTACTATGGAACGCTACATGTCGGCGAGAAACAAGTGTATAATTAAAATCCAAGAAGCTCAGAGAAAATATGAAATGCAGTCGACACAACTTACAATCAAGCAGCCTGAGAGACTACTCTCGTACATAAATTACAGAACAAGGATGACGCACTGAATTCCCAACCTAATTAAGGAAGGGAGTGAATCTGAAATGATAGAGGAAGACCAAAAAATGGTAGAGGCTATGGCAAACAATTTTGGGTGGGCTTTCACTCAGGAACCTTTTCCAGACGAAGAAGTAGACACAAATACAAAGTCAACACACCTTCTGCTCGCCGTGGACTTTGATCGAGACAATGTACTTAAAGCTCTTGGTACTTCAGAAACGGAAAGGTCAACAGGACCGGATGAACTAGACCCCAAAATCCTGAGACAAACTGCCCAATATATCGCAGTACCACTAACTGTGATTTTCAATATGTCACTTCGACGAGGTGAGTTACCTACGGACTGGAAGAATGCAATTGTCACTGCAATACATAAAACGGGACCAAGACAACTTCCATCAAACTAAAGACCTGTCAGCCTCACCAGTGACGTAGTTAAAATACTGGAAAGAATAATCAACAAGACCATAACAACATTCGTGAGAACCAACAACTTGGTAAACAGCGAACAGCATAGTTTCAGAAAGGGTTTATGTTGCACAATAAACCTCCATATAGCGTGGGAACATTGAATATAGGCTCTAGATAATAAAAAATCAATGGGTGTCATCTATATAGACTTCAGTGAAGCATTTGATAAGGTGCCAACAAATAGACTGCTCTTGAATCTGGGAAATCTAGGTGTTGCCGGGCCTCCCCTATAGTGGCTTAAGGATTTCCCAGTAAGTCGTGGACAGGAAGTAAGAGCAAAATTCCAGTACTCGTGCAATTACAGAACTCCGGGGTTGGGAACCTGTTACCCGAAGCAATAGTGTCCGCATCTTCAATTGAATCACTCAGGAAAAGACTAGATACTCACAGAAGCATAACAGACAGGGAATAACCTAGGCCGTAGGCCTTCTATCCTTACTACACAAATTTGAATATGAACGTTACATTGTAGTGACCTACTTTTATCACGAGAACGCGATTGTTTTAATGAAAACAAATATTATTATTATAACCAATTGTACTTGTGCTTGTTTTAGTGTGCTTTTGTATAACTGTGCTAATGACATTTTGTGCTTCCATTACTCTCTATTACTGTTTCGTGGTTCGTGACCTCCTTCGCACGTACTTTCTCCTGCCCACTCCGCTTGTACCTTTTCTTGACACGACCTCGGTATTCACTCGATACCACGAGATCGCCAACGAAATAAACTTGGTTCTAATTCGCGTTCGCCTTCTGATTTACTTGGCACGTGTTTTTTGTAGTGGTGTTCATAGTCAACTGGGACTCGACACCACGCTACAACATTATCGTAAGACAGCTTCTCTATAAGGGTTCGAATTCCGCTATTTCTCAGGAAAAATTATCTTATACCATTAACTTATTGCAATTGTACTCACTCATACCGTTGTGTTGTCCTCAAAAAATCTTTTTACCGTATATCCAAGGAATTGTTCACATCCATGTTAGATTGATTTTGTGTGACCTAGAAGAGCTTGTTTACAAACACGGTGCAAATCAATTTTAAGCACAGTTTGAACATTTGTTTAGGACGTCTGAAGTTAATTTAAATTATTCTGTGCTGTACTCATTAAGGCTTCAGGACCACCCGTCACACCACTATTCTGAAGTATTTCTCTTTGGCTCTCAGTCGTGATTTCCTCCGTTTTTCCTCTTTTTACAATACTGACGAGCGCCTGATTTTTGCGGACATGTACAGGAATACCCAACAATAAATCCCCAGCTCTCAGTATTCCATCAATTTGCTCCATAGAGATTATACCTCATCAAAGATAACCACATCCCACCTTCTTTCGAGTTTATTGGTTGGTTTACCAACTCCGCCTGCAGTCCTTACGGGGGCTACTGCCAGTCGCAAGCCCGGATAAAGGAGGAGAGTTGTACATGGGGTTAGCGACCCCATCCCGTAGAAAACTAACTCGCTAAAAAAAGGCTAACCAGAAAAATTACCAGCATACAATCTATAAACAGTCGGATTACGAGAATATCTATAGATAATAGTTTATTAAATAAACCTTTGATTATATCTACCTGATATCTTTCTAAATTTTCACTATAGTTAACTCTGTAGAGGATAACTGACTTTAAAGTGATCAGCCTATTCTTTCCCATCCACAGATGAGCAAACGTGGTTTCTTACTTCCATTCTAGATGACAAAGGTAGACAGCTAAGGAGCCACCGACAGTTTGTTATTCCAATGGTAATATTCAAATAAGAGTTCCAAATGATTTACTACTTTATTTTATGTAGACATAGTGTTTTTTTATCTCCACTATTAAATAATGACATTTTATTTGTTATATCAAGGTCGATCCTCAAGACTTGCTCCTCTATGGCATGTAATCTACGTTATAACCAGATAACTAAAGCATTAATCCAACTTTGCGGATATGTGAGAGAATCGAGTTATGAGTTCATCAGCATCAAATTCCTTCAAATTTCCTGTCTTCTATAAGGTTGAATCAACATCACTATATCTCTTATGACAGGAGTCACTGATGATAATCGTTTTGCAACCTATCGTTTTCATTCCTTCTTTTAACTGTACCATTTCGCAGTAGTCAATTTCCAACCCATTGTCATCTGATAAGATAGACCAGCTGGCCTCTTATTTTACCCGGAATTAACGGCCAACCAGAAACGTATATTGCCAGAAGTCGTACAAACATAGTCTCCCCATTTCTTTCTGTTTATACTACATTCTGTAATATCGATAGATGACATCGATCTCGACCTCAGACAGCGCGCGTCCGAGTATCATTTCCGACATAAGCAAATAATTAAAAATACAGTTATTTACATGATTTGTTGGTACGTTTTGTGCTTCCCAGACTTCTACAAAGCCTAATATTCCAATATGTACCTTAATTCTCCATAGTGATGAGCTGTGGGATAATCTTTTATTAATGATAATCTGTATAAATACGATAGTAAACAGATACAATGCATGACTACGCCTAAATTCAGGGTGACTTAATTTACTTTGAACCGTTTAAAACAATCGAGAACAAATAAATAAGAGTTTTCAATTTATAAAGTTTTGAACGTTAGTATATATTCAAAATAGTAACACTGTGATGTATGCTACTGATATCAACAAATACAAGTAGTATGTATCATCAGTCGAAAGTGAAATGCCTGGAGACAGAAGATTAAGAAGACTGAAGAAAAGAGAACGGAAACAGAGAATAGTTGGTGTGGAAATGAAGAAACAATAAAGTCTGAAACTATTGATTGGCACTTTGCAAATAAAGTATTTACTGTATAGTTTTCAAATTTACAGAAAGATTCTGTAGTTTTATGTTTAGATACATTCGCTTGTCCCCATATATGTTTTCGTTCACTATAACTCTATTATATTACTTATGTATAAATTTCTGTAAGTCATTAGAACAATAATGTAAAGACATATGGAAACATCTAAATTGTGTTGGAGAGATGACTTCAGACGTTTGATTTTTAGCTTGATTATCCCTCTTTGATCATCATCTTAGGGAGTTATGCCATCATCTGTAAATTCCTCAAGACGGTTTTTAAGACTGTCAGTATTAGAAAAACTCATGTTTGTTATTATCAGTTGATGAAATCAGACCTCGGTTACGAGGAAAAGTGTCTGTATAGATTAGCCTGACAAGATGAATAAGCTAGTCCTAGTGACGAGTCTTCCTGAAAGATACAAGGATCTTATAGACCATTAACATTTCTAATTCACAGCAATGAAAACTTAGTTATAAAGAATAATTTTCCGTACATTCATTTGCTAACTTATTTTAAACATACCTTAAAAAGTACTTTTATTAGTTGTCTTATCATCCATTCTTTACTGGTTAATCAAAACATAAGTAAAGTCATGAATAATTATGTCCTTAATAGACCTGATACACTGAATACTAATGAATTTAAATGTATTTTCTCAGGAGTAAAAGAAGTTTAATTCAACTTCAATTATATATATATATATATATATTTAGCGAATGAAATTAGAAAAAATTTAATAATGAAGAAATAAAAATAATTTGATGTGATTTCATTTTTCTGAATCAAAATTATGAAAGATAAATGTTGCAATAGAAAGTCATAGATAAGCCTATTCTCTAAAGTTTCAATGAAAAATCAGTGTAATCTTGCTAATATAGAGTCAAATGAAATCAAAAGAAAAATAGCATTAAAATAAACTAGCTAATTTTATAGGTTATAGCAAAAAATGATTGTGATATCGCTAAGTACTTTACATTATTATGAGATAGATGGTAATGAGATAAAATGCATTGTTTACTGAACCGAAAAATCAAATATATGTATATGTTTAGTGTGGTAAGCATCCGTCGATTAAAATTGAACAATGACTGGGGTGATAAAGCAGACTAGTGAATTAGGCTTTGAAAAAGGCAAAGCTTTCATTAAAAGCAAGCATTCGAATTAGACATTTTATTTTCACATCTCTCGTGCATCCCCATGAATTGAAATATATATATATATATATGACTGGTCGTACAGATTACTTATATACAGAATACTATTCATCCGTATTCTCTGATTTTGGGGCAGCTTTAGGAAGGATACCAGTTGGAGGAACAGTTGCATTTTTACCTTCTTCCAAATGGAAACGCCGGTAATACAATTGAATTTGTGTAAAGACACATTTCCAGTCAGGTACTTTCATACGCATTAAATCTTCAATGTCAAGTAACGGAGAAACATTGCCAAGTTTCCTGCCAATAGATACAAAGAAAATCGATGAAATCCTCAGGATTAAAAAATTTTTAAATTAGTTATTTTCTAAGTAGGTCGATAGAAAATACTTTTACTGGCTGAATGTTTATTCAAATGCACTCTGTTTTTTAAGTTCACACTTTATGCAATCGAATATATATCATAAATACTCAGAACAGATATTGAATAAGTTTTTGAAATAATAAACTGAATTTTTATTTGGATTTTACTATTCTGTGGGGAAAATGTTTTGTGAGAAATTTGAGCGAAATATTAGTCAATAATGTAAGTTAGTGATTGGAGGTAGTCGACAGGATGACTTTTACATAGGATCCTAGTCCTTGGCACTACCTCCAGCCATCATCTCATATTTCAACGTAGTGCAAGTGATGTCAAGTCATTTAGAACAATGGCCACATAGCAGCTTGATGGGTAGAATTTGATCAACCCTAAAAAAGGGCTTGACATACATGACATTGGTCACCACTAAGTGAATGATTTATTGTAAATTAGCCAGCGTTTTCTATCTGACTAGAAAAGAGAGCTTATCTAATTTATGACCCTGTAAATTTCTTTGTGTAGATCCTATTGGGTGACTACTTATGAGATTTAAATAACTTATTAGTTTTTCTTACTCAGACCTTATAATGAGAAACGAATACTTCCACCCATTTTATTTGGATTAGTTCATATCTATTTTGACTGGCTTAAGGATTTGATGAAATTAACGAAAGTTAGTTTACATGAATTCCAACAAGTACACTGAATTTATAATATTGTATTACTCATTTAAAAAAAATCGAAGAAACTATTATGGGTCTATAGTGACAATTTTTGTTGTTCATCTAAACTCATATTATCATTAGAGAACTCGTCTTTGAAAACCAATTTAAGGATTTCTAGTTGAAAATATTTTTGCTATATCCTTTCATTTTAAAATGAGTTATGAAAAAATCCTACCCATTTTTGTAAATTTTAACCTAACCCTTTAGTCACACTTATACTGTCCGCTAGTCGCTTATGCACTCTAAGTGTATCAAAATTTACTCAAAAAAAAACGATTTCTAGAACTTTAATAACGAGTTAAAATGAAATGATACGTGTAAAGAGAAAGAGTAAGAAATTAAAAAATCGAATGTTGATTGGCAACTATCATTTATTAGTTGATATATGCAATTCTGTAGCCTAGTAAATTATGTTTTCTCTAAGTTTTACTGTGAAATTTAAACTCAACTGCAATAATTGTGCTTATAACTTTTGAATAGGATGATTTATTTGCCAAAACGTATTCAAATAAACAGTTTCAATAAAAAATTCCACGTTAGTAGAAAGACAGCGCATCAGATGTTTAGTAACCTGGTTTTTTAAATAACTTAATTAGGAGTTTGAAAATTAAATACCTTTTAAACTAGTTCACTAAAATTAAGTCAAATCAATGTTACCCGAATACGGTTAGTTTTTCATTTGATTAAAAACAACGTACACACAGCCTTGTTCTACAACAACCCATAAGTAAAATAGATATTATTTGAAATTAATGTAATAGACTCCTTTTTTTATATTTATACTTTGAATATATTCACTTCAGAAATAACATTACAATAATAACAATAATATTATCCCAGAAACTAACATATATCATGAACAATTTTAGTGAATTTCTTGTGTTCTCAAGTTTAGTTGGATTGAAAATAAGTTCTATTTGATCGTTTTAAAACTAAAAATTGGACAAACTAAAATAATTTATAATAATTGAGATTATGAGTCAATTGAAACTAGACCATCATAGAAAACCTGAATGCACTGGACGGCCGTTTCTTCCTATCGTGTGACTCCTCGGCAGTGCGCAGCCACGATCTCGCTTCGTGAGGTTCGAACCCAGGATGTATTGGCCTTAACCTCTAGACCACTGATCCGGCATCCAACGGTGTTAATGTCTAACTTCAACTAACAATTCACTTTTTAAAATGATGTTACATATAAGACGAAAGTCTTAGAACAATGTCTACCAAAGTGATATATACACAATAAAAAGCATTTTATGATGGCTTAAAATTGTTCAACATTTATCAACGTAGTAGTTTCTCACACTACAATTATTTATATACATTAATGATTTATTATTAGTATTAGTTACGAAATAATTTATATTACACATCAGATGTATTACGTCACTTCATAACTAGAATTATTTTACGTGTATGTTTAACCGTACGAGTTTATAAGACAATTTTATTTGCAATACTGAATGAACTATATCTAAAGTGTTATAAACCTATTAGAAAGTAACTATTTCTAATACATCATCTTGTAATGCATGTTATTTATACAAAAGTCACAGACAATAAAGATTATTAGGAGTAATCAAAACCAAGATACCTTTAATGAATTATCTATAGTTTAATGCGAGGTTTTCTCTAACTGATTTATACTACTTCAGTACTAACAATCATATTTTTTACGATTAGTCTTATTTCTATATCATAAAATGATGATAACGTGATTACCGTTACGTTGTTATTGTTATGCTGCTTTCAGTATTATTGTATTCAAGCTGTCCGTCATTTTTGATTGATCTCTGACTATGTGACTGATTGACTTTTTCTATACAGGTCAACAGATCGAACCAATGTCAATGTGTCTACTGACTGTCAGTTAATCTGAATGCCATACTTCTAGAAATTTTCTGGAGATCTTGAAAATTCCCAATTTTTACGGTTTTTACGTTTGCTAGTTGTATCAATGTCCTTAGTTATCTATGCTCACTGAGATCAACGATAACATACTCTGTTGTTCCACAGCTAGTCTGTGTTCGTACATGTGGGGAAGTGGATTCTCATTTTGTCCGATTTAGCTTTCCATGAAGTTGCACACTATTTTGTTAATGGACTTGTCTTCTTTTGTTTTTGTGTATTTTCATCTGAATACAAAAAATGAAGTGATTGGGTTGTTTTGTGTGATAAATTGATTTTAATACGTTTTAAGCTTAATGAAGTAACTTCTAAGATGTTTTACACATAATAATTGGATTTTTTGACAGTTGCTAATTTACGTCGCTGTCTCCGAATAGATCCACAGCTTTTTGGATGCAAGCTCTTTGACAATAAATATAGCTGTGAGTCCTTTGTCAGCTGAACATAAATCAACCTTGGAAATCAGGATCACTCTACCATTTGTGAAATAACCAAGATCACTTTTACATAAAGTAGGCGTTGAAGACGTTATCAAAGACAACAACGTATGCTCCTTGGTTAAAACATACAGCTAAGAATAAAAACTAACATATAATATTTCATTTCAAACGTTTTATCGTTCATACGTGAATATGACCGAGAACATATACAGAACGTTTATTTAAAAAATGCATGTAATGTCAGATGAATGTCAAACTGTAAACGTTAAAAATGATTATCAATTTCTAGATCACGTCACGCAGATATAATAGACTACGCAATGAATAGGCGAACAACTCACGAATTCTATTAAATTTCTACTTATTGCACTAGTCATTGATCGTGTTTTGTCATCTTTTCTTTTTAAAATGCCATATTTGTTGTGGGCTTAAATATTCATAATGAAGATAAATGGAGAAATCATATTTGGGAAAGGAAGGCTCAACATGATAAGATAAAATGTTGAAATTGCGATAAGCTGTAATTAAGAGGATCATAGAGGCAGAAAAAACCCAGTTGGAAGCAAAAAGTCTGTAGAGAAGATGAAAGACAAGCAGAGATCTGTAAAGGGAGAAAACAATGAAGAAGAAAATGACAAGAGATTAAGGTCGTGGTAAAAGAAGGAAATGAATTCTCCAAAATCAAAATGTTAACTGAACCTATCTATCTTATTTTACGTCTCAATGGGTATATTCCGTTTACTTCAAGACACGTTAAAATAAAATAAAAGTAATATAAAACTAACTAAGTCAATAGAAAATGTTTAACTATGTCCTTCATCAGCCAAATTAGCATTATGGGTTAGAAAAATATCAAATGATTATGTTGTTCTTATGAAGCGTAACTATCTAGCTGATATATATATATATATATATATATATATATATATATATATATATATATATATTGTCCACAGATTACTATTAGTGCCTAGTTAATGGAAACGTTAGTTGACCCAGTCTGTGTTATAGAGATTATGATCAAAGGATTAATGAGCTTTCTTTTTACAAAATCTTCTTACTCTTTCATCGAAATGCTTTTTTTCTATTAATAGTTTTACACTTCTATTTTGTATTTATAAATACTATAACAGAAGATTATTTTTAAGGGCTAATGGTTTAAATTTTATGACTTTAGTTAAAATTTGCTTTTCTTGATTGATTCCTAGTAGATAGAATGTAGTTCACTTTAAAAATCATTTTTCTTTTTATCTTTTTCGAATATTTTATTTGTTTATTTAAACACATAAACATTAGTACAAGGAGGTACCAAATAGATATGTGCCACATAAATCATTCGATTTGTGTGAGAACTAGGATACTGCCCGGGTTCTCAAACTGAAGCAGGTGGTCTTCATAAGGAGCCACTCCTCGAGCCTTTGACCTAGATGTCTAATTTACAAGGCAGTGGAGCATTGTAAGGAGATGCAGTCCCATGATGGCCGGTGACCAACTATTAGTTCATACGCCATTTGTTCTCTTATGACCCTGGAGCCCATGTGCACCATTGGCGTGGAATCAGGGTTTTCCAACTCCCCTCGGTGGACTCTTCGTGTCCACCGACCCGGTTAGATCTCTGGACATTCGCTTTTCGTCCTATCAAATTCCTGAACAACACTCTCGCCACGAGAAGGCAGTGAGTAGGACTTCCCTGACAGTGGTTGTGTACGCGTGGTCATGTGAGAGCATTTCAAAAAGTTGAGCTTACTCTCCCCGCTCTCGGCCGTACCAGGGCATTTTGGGGCCTTTTCAAATATAATTCATTATGTATTGAAGAAAATCACTTTTTTACACTAAATATTAAAGATTTCAATATTGGCTTCAGTTCAAAAAACTTATTTCTTTATATCAAGGAAATAACATCAACCATGAATATAGTTTGGTGTATAACTCTACTGAATTAAAAGTAATAGCAGTTTTCAAGTAAAAATTGATGTGTTAGTCATAATTTAGTGTAGATTAACGGTCAACTTATAACACTGGAAATGAGATATTATTAAATAGGATGACACAGTTTATCTCTCTTATATAAACTGAACAAAAAAATCCAAATAGAATAAAGTAACAAAGTTTAAAAAAACAGTTATGTCATATAAGTAATCCTTCATTTTACACATTAATCTGTATGATTAGAAGTGCTGAGTAATTTCAATATGTTTCACGTTTAGTAATTCGTGATGACTTTAAAAAAAGGTAAAATTATATTTCACTAAGTGAAAATGAGTCGATATAATTACATGATTTTTTTCTATATAAGTAATATCATTCTAAAATATTCTTCATTATAACATTTTGTTGTATCCAAATTATCAAACGCTTCTATATTAATATCAGAGGGGGTTTTGTGGATATTATAGTAATTTTAATGATGCACTGCTGAGGAGTCCCACATTAGAACGAAACGGACGTCTAGTGCTTCTAGGTTTTCCATGATGATCTAGCTTCAATTGACTCATGGTCTCAACTATTAAAATTCCTTTTGTAATAATCAATTTAATTTAAGTGAATGAACTATATTTTTTCAAACAAAAGAGGTGGTAATTCACATTCAATATTAACTGTATGTTAGTGGTGTAATGAATTATTGTTGTGTTTTGTTTAATAAATCAATCTATTTCAAAGGTACAACATTTTGTTGATATCGATTTCAAGATTGGACTTGATAGTTTCAAACAAATTGAACATCGGGTAGAAAGTTACTAATAAATACATTTTTCGTTGTGTCCCACCTCTTCGGAGACTTATTCACTATGAGAAATTGGCTTACATTAGGTCACGAAACGTTGGAAATATAAAATTTCTACTGAGATTTAACAAAAAAATATATTTATTAAACAACATTTTATTAAATACTACGATATTTTTAAATTCTTTTAGGTAGTATTGTACCACACTGGCCAGGTAGCCAGTTAAAATGATATTTACGTTTTGGACTGATGTAATTTTTTGTGAAACTTATAGGAATCAAAATTATCTGACTAACTTGAAAAACGATATGCAATCAAAATCACAGATGAACAGAGAAGTGATAAGTTTTCAGTAAGTGGTTATTTGTTCTTTCAATGTCTTTTATTAAGTTTGGAGACATTCTGAAGTGTTTGATACTCAACTTTATTGTAATTTTATTAAACAAACGAATAAAGTCAGCTCACTGTAAAATGACAGGATCGAGTGTGGTTAGCATTTCTGGTCGATGCTCTTTAGTGGTGTTACATTCTCTTATCTGAATGGTTTGTTTGCAAAACCTTTAATGTTACTTTGAGCAATATTATAATTTTTGGAAACAAAGCCATTCAACCATGAGAAACCCGTTCAACAAAAATCAAGTTGTTATGTGTGACAATGAGTAATATTAATACCAGATAATCTTTCGTTTTCGTTACGATTTTCAAACCTCATCATCCTTCTAAATCTCTTTATTTCTTCTACTTAATTCGTTTTTTTTTTCATTTCTGTTTTATGCATTTCCATGTGTCAGTAAATTTCAGAGAAGTGGTCCTACTTTGTTTGAAATTAAATTGTAAAAGCAATCTAACGATAATAAAACTATTCAAAAGAGATTGAAAAAATTTCATCCTGGCTACTGTTATCTTGACATTTTATTGTACTATCATGCAACAAATAAGCGAAACTGACCTACATAACAATACAGTTATGTTTTTACAATATTGCTTATATGAAATTATACATATTTATATGTGAGTTTGACACGAATAATTGACTAATATACATCTATGTGTTTCATTAAAGCACGAAAACTGTTGACTGAACTATTAGATTTATAACTACTCTGAGAACAATCAAGTTCAGTATTCAATATATCTTAGAATGTTGTCAGAATGATATGTTTTAAGAAAATCTTTGTTGTCGATTTGAAGTGAACGAAGGAATTACAAAATCATATTGATTACCTGTTGAAAGGGATAAAGATCATGTTTAGGCTTTTCTTCTGTCAGGTTATCTTTTCTATTTCTTGATAAAGTCTTTAGATACAGTTTAAAGTTATTTGCTTGATTGATCCCAGTAGAATTTTTTTAACTTGTTATGATTTGACAGTAACATCTGTACGATTATTATTATTATTATTACTGTTACATGCTTAGCAATGTAAATATTCAAGTCTCAATGTATTATTGAAATGCCTCATATTATTTCCCTTTTATATGCATTACTTCAAACTAAGTCTTTAATACTATCAAAAGATATATCCCTAATTACAAACAAGAGCATTCCAAAAGGACTATGTGCTGTAGGATGATTGAATAAACGGGTAACTAAAATTTAAAAAATAACCCATTTGTTTAATTTAAGATAACTATAGAGAGACTTATATGAAAAGAAAACTATTTCTGAATTTTTAAACAATGAAAAATATGTTTTATTTTAAATAACCTACAGTCGTTTTAATTCGAATATTAGGAATACGATTTTAGTGTTTTTACATACCAGCTTGAAATATAAAAGGTGTTCACATTAAATAATCTCGGTGTTTATCAAAGTTATAGATTCATCTAGATTAAGGAGGTACATTATGACTAATTTATTCGATTTCAGTCTACGCTCTTCATCTATTTCACTGTAGCTTCAGCTGACGTCATTGAGCATTATTACTACGAAAAGACGGATAGCTCATTTTAAAGACAGTAAATCCTACGGTCCGTCACGTTACGACCTAATTGAATAAAAAATATGTATGCGAAATGGAGGGGCATATCTGTAAGTTTATACATGCATATCTTCTTAAACTTACTCAGCTTTTTCAAATGCCAATTCAAAATTTGCTCGTTTATTTTTTGGATCCAATGTCGAGAAATCAAATGAATCAGGATAAAAGTGATGAATTAATGCACAAAATGCTAAACCATCACCCCAGCTACTTCCGAAATTTTGTATGTCCACACCCTGAATACAAGTAGAGAAGGAAATAAAGTAATCAGTAATAGATAAATCAACCCAAAAAGGAATGTTGATATCAAGGAGAAATGTCGCTGGAATCATATGTCATTTCCACCGTAAAAGGATGTTATTACCAAAGTGAATCTATGAGTTGGGTCAAATCATAACATGAAACAATGTTTCATAGGAAATTGAAAATTGTTTAGTTGAGCATATTCTGATTTATATAAGATATATTCGCACTAAACGTTGGACTCTTGATTTATGGTTTCAAATATAATAGCCTTATCTATAACTCTATTGTAAAAATTGTAAAACGATAGTGTGACGTTTTCAATATCTTCAGAAAATCACGTTTTAAGTCCCTTGTCCCTCAATGTACAGATAAATAATACTTTTGAATCTCCAAAGTTTTTACAGCGACTGGTACATATATATACATATTCTTACTTGACTAAATCAATTTCGAACAATATTTTATCTTAAAAGGATGAAGAAAGCTTACAATCTGCTGAAAATAAGCTACTTTAAATTAATGCATAGATATGTAAGGTTCTATACAATATTAAATTAGTTTAAAAGAATATGAAAGCTCTAGGACTTAGTGCATCCATATAAAACATATCTGTAACGTTATTTTTGTGATCAACAATCGGATGTTGTAGCTAAAAACGGTAACTATTATTTTTCTGACTGATAATTCATATCTTATACATAACCAACAGATGACGCTATATAAGTTCTCGGAATAATCAAAGTTTGGTTGTATAAATTTATAGTGTTGGAATTACCTTTATTATAGTTGAAGTAAACAGACACAGTCAGTTCACTAGATATATATTGAGAGTAAAAAAACACTGAACCTACAAGATTTTAATAAAATCAGAATATCTCAAGGATGGACATAGCTGTGTACTTATTGATTCAAATCATTTCATTTGAAACGTTATATTCACATTGGATGACTATTTACAGTAACCAATGTAATATTCGTTTGGTTCTTAGTGTTATTTAGATTCAATAGATCAAAGTACAGTAAGTTCATTAGAAAAGCCTACCAGTAGTCTAGGATTAGTGACCAGGTTGCAACATAGCACGCAGAATTTAATCAGTACTCAAAACGAGATAAATATGACATTTGCTACGATTCAGTATTTAATCAGCTTGAAAATCTTATTTCTACAGATAAATGGTTCTAGGTCAAATAACGCAATGATAACGTTTCTGATTGTAAATCTTAATGATGTACTTGAATTCAAGGGGATGAAAGTCGTCCTTCATGAGTTTTCGTTTATCATCTACTGCTGAGTGGCATCAAATACAATACCTAGATTGGATAATTCCTCTAAATTGCCACTAATATTAAAGTAATCTAAACAAAGAAAAATAAAATCTAGGAATGTAAACATTTTCTTTGAATGAACACAGTTGGAAAGTAGTGAATGTTCATGTTTCAGACAAAGCAAAGTACTAAATGAATAATACTTGACTGTTAGAACTAAACAACTATTTCATCACCTGAGGTCATTATAAGAATTCATGTTGGACAATGTACATACTTATACATGGTCCAGGTAATAAAGTGAACAGTTTCATGAACTATTGCAATTCGTTTTTCACGAATAACTTGAACCTTTATTAAATATCACATTTTTTGTGAATGAGAACGATATAGCCAAATAAATATCATAGCTGAGTTAGTTTTGTCTATTAATTTTGAATTAATAGAGCTATGAAGGCAATAATTATCAAATAAGTATATTTTCTGTTAAGATTCTATGAGGCTCTTTAATCAATCGTAAGATTGGACTGTCTTTTCATATGAAACATTAAAATTTATACTTTCATTATCACTAATGTTAAAGACAGCCAAATATATGAGATTTTATCAATGATGTTTTACTCTTAGAATTTCGGTGGTTTTCCTATCAATTCGATCTGAATATCGTACATAGTAAATATATTTTCTCACATTTGCATTTCTCTACACCGATAAAGATAGAAATAAGAAAGCTTATGAAAATGTTATATTAGAAGAATTGATAATGTAATGATTTATAAAACTAGATTAGATTCTACAGGCAGTAAAATAGAAACTTCATTACTAGATACTGACCATAAGCTAATAGTATTTTTTTCATTTAGATATTAATTTCATTATCTCACAAAGCTACCTTTGCATGGAATGAGGTTGTTTCATTTTTTTAAAAATTAGGTCGCGGTGTACAGAACTTGCTTATTTATATTAAATTTTCTACCATACATATTTGTCACGACCAAAAGTGCTGTAACACATACTATATCTCATAAGTTTTAGTTCATACTTACCGTACACTGACAAAATTACATATAAACTGCTTCAAGATAATTGTCAGATAGAATTCTTTTCATTATAACAATTTTATTTGGATATTTGTGATACTATGATAATCCATGTTTGATAATTTGCATAAGTCTGAACTCTAATGAATGATAGTGCTTACGGATTATATTAAATGTTTAGCACATAAAAAGATCAGGGATACTAGTAACTTTATAAAAATTTCACGTGATTATACTAAGACGTTAGTAGCAAAAAGTACAATACTCCATCAGTGATATACACTCTACATGATTTTGTTATTCTTTAAACCTAACATGTTAGTAAATGGGGCTGGAAGGCAATGTTATTAGTGATAAGATCTAAACACAAATCAAAAGAATACTCAGTTTTTTATCTAGATTTCCGTGAAAGTTTAGTCGTGGAAACTGAGCTAATCAACCAATCTGGCATCTAAGGCTATCTTAAAAGTCTAATAAGTAACTTCTAAATAAAATAATGTATTGATAGAAATGTTTTTCAGATTCATGTTACTTATTTAAAACATCTCTGACACCACTTTATTTACATAAGTTTCTCTGTCAATCAAACATTTTACGTTATTTCCAGAAATACAAATGGGAAACTAATCTGGTAATCAATGTAAACTTTGGATAAAACTAATGCATCAAACCGATGTACTACTATTGAAAAGCAACAGTTTGTAGTATGATTTACGATCACTTTTCAGGTTTGCTTGTTATAACTTTTAATCCAAATTTTCGCAAGGCTACCGACTAACACATTAGTGCTGTTTCTGAGTTGTGTTTTGGGATATTTAATAATAAAAATACATTTGGAGTTGTACAAATTGTAAACTATTTTTATTCATAGCTTAGCTATGCTAAGTGATTACGATTATGTTGAGAACGTTATCAGTGGTTGTGGTATTTCGGAGAATGATCGGGCCTACTGTAATTTCTACTTACAAATGACAAATTCATTTAACACAAACAGGATCTAATGCGAATCCGATTGAGTGACATCTGACACATAACAATTTACCAGTAATCTCCAAATGGAAAGGAACACTCAGAGAAGGGATTAGTGCAGAGAAAGTTTGATATTCCAAGAGTTAAATGGGAAATATGATAACTCTGAATATATTGTAATAAAGCATGACTTTGGGAGACAAAAAAAATCGTCAAACTATGGATGCAAATGACCAATCAAATAAAACCGGATTTTGATTAGGAATTATGAATCAGAAAAAATATGCTTGCTTTTATCGCTACTGGAAAGAAGTACAATTTATTTATAAAATCTGGATGACTTGAGACCTTCTTAGCCTAAGTAGACTGAAGTCATGTAAGATTAGGTGATCGGTTTATATTTTTCTAAGCGTAAATTTAAATGAATACAGTTATTTAAGGAATTGAACTTACTCATCAGCAGAAAAATCTGAATACAAATTTAGTCTTCTTCAGTACTTAAATTTGCACTTAGAGTTATATTCATGGCAATGAACCATTAAAATGAATAGTAAGATACTTTCGCTAACATTCCTAATAAGTTATAAGTAAAGGAAGGTCTGGTTAGAGTTAAGAAACTACAATTTGAAACTACTAATCCTCAATAAGATAAGTGGTATGTCATAATGATAATAAATTACGGATGTAAACGGTTCATTCTGTATGTTAGTATTCGAGTACAAAATTATTTTAGATGGTCAGTTAGCTAAAGTCTTAGGGTCTCATAAACATTAAAAATAAGAACTCTATACAGGAAAAAAATCAGTGACTCAGTTACAATAGTGACAGAAGAGAATAAACAGAACTTCATAGCATTATCAATAATTATATCGTTCACCGCTTTGCGAGCTTAATCTTGAGGATTTTAAATCATGTTTCATTTGATTTACATTGAAATTACGTTACAAAATACACTTAACAATTTCGAAAATTTATTATAAATACGTCTTTTAATATTTATTATATACAGAAGAAAAATTTGAAAGTTAGGAAGCTCATTACGATAATGGCTTGTTAATAACAATATATGGACAGACTAGCAAGCCACCACGGAACATCACGTTACTTCAAAACAGTATTGAGAATAAAATCAAGCTGAGAAATAACTTCACGAACAAAACTGGAATATTAAAAAGAAATAACAAAATGAGTGGTCGGAATTTAAAGGCTATGTATCTACATGAAATCTTGAACCATTATTATTTAGCATTTGGTTGGCTACAACTAGAAATCCCTCATTTCCCTACACGATTCTTACAATCTTTAAGTTGTCTAACTAAAGAATTGAAGAGGAACTCATGTTTATTTTTATACAAAATATCATACAGATATCTTCATGTGGATATAATAATAACTGAGTTAAAGTGTTATAAATCAGATCTTTTTTACTTCATTTAATACAATAATTCAAACGAGGAATATTTTATCACTTTTTCTAAATAAAAACTCCGCCTGGAGTCCCTCCGGGGGCTACTGCCGGTTCCAAGCCCGGTTAAAGAAGGAGGGCTGGACATGGGGTTAGCGACCTCATCTTGTAGAAAACCGACTCGCTGAAAAACACTAACCGGAAAAAAATTATTTAAACTCTGCCCTGGGAGTCGGAAGGTCTTCAGTTAGGAGAGTTATGACGCCCCATGATGAAAGCCGAGTTCCTTCGGAAGTCACGAGGCAGATGCCCTTTCTAACAACCAGAGCAATCATTTATTTAGGTACATGAAATGGTCGTACAATGTGGGAGTGTCTTCCAAATTGCTGCATTTCTAAATAAAAATAATGATGCTATCCAATAACTAGTAATTAAGTTAGATAATTAGAGAGGATATATTTTAATCGGTTGTCAAGTCCTTCCTCATCTTTCAGCCAATTACTCCTAATGTAGCATAGGCTGCCGACCAGCATTCTCCAACCTACTCTGTCCAGGGCCTTCTTGTCTAGTTCCATCCAATTCTTATTCATTTTTCTCATGTCTATCGCCATTTCCCGGCGTAATGTGCTCTTTGATCTCACTGTTCTCCTTTGGCCTTCAGGATTCCATGTGAGGACTTGTCTTGTGAAGCAGTTGGGTGCTTTCCTTAATGTGTGTCCTATCCACTTCCAGCGCTTCTTCCTGACTTCCTCCTCCTTCGGAATCTGGTTTGTTCTCTCCCACAGTACGTTGTTGCTGATGGTCTCTGACCAACGCATCCGAAGTATTTTGCGTAGACAACTGTTATTAAACACCTGTATTTTCTGGATGATGACTTTCGTAGTTCTCCAGGTTTCTGCCCCATACAGTAGAACTGTCTTGACATTTGTATTGAAAATCCTGACCTTGGTGTTGGTTGACAGTTGCTTTGAGTTCCAGATGTTCCTCAGTTGTAAATATGCTGCTCTTGCTTTGCCGATCCGCGCCTTCACATCTGCATCAGATCCACCCTGTTCATCAATGATGCTGCACAAATATGTAAAGGTTTTCACGTTTTCCAAATCTTCTCCGTCAATTTTGATTGGATTGGTGCATGCTGTGTTGTATCGGAGAATCCTGCTTTTCCCTTTTTGTTTATTGAGACCTACTGCTGCTGAGGCTGCTGCTACACTGGTCGTCTTCTCCTGCATTTATTGTTGTGTTTGGGATAGAAGGGCCAGATCATCTGCGAAGTCTAGATCGTCCAACTGCATCTTAGATGTCCATTGTATCCCGTGCTTCCCTTCAGACGTTGACGTCTTCATGATCCAGTCGATCACCAGGAGAAAGAGAAAGGGTGAGAGTAAGCAACCTTGCCTGACACCGGTCTTTACTTCGAACGAGTTTGTCAACTGTCCTCCATGCACAATTTTGCAGTTTAATCCATCATAGGAATTCCGTATGATATTGACTATCTTCTGAGGCACGCCGTAGTGTCGAAGAAGTTTCCATAGTGTTGTTCTGTCCACGCTATCAAATGCCTTTTCGTAGTCAATGAAGTTGATGTAGAGTGATGAATTCCATTCAATTGATTGTTCCACAATGATCCGTAGAGTTGCGATTTGGTCTGTACACGATCTATCCTTACGGAATCCTGCCTGTTGGTCACGAAGTTGGGCGTCTACGCAGTCCTTCATCCTGTTTAACAATACCCTGTTGAAGACTTTTCCCGGTATTGAGAGAAGAGTGATGCCCCTGTAGTTATCACAGTTGCTGAGATCGCCTTTCTTCGGTATTTTGATCAGAAGTCCTTCTTTCCAGTCTTTTGGTACTTGTTCCTCATCCCAAATCTTATTGAAGAGAATGTGGAGTATCCTTGCAGTTGCCGCTACGTCTGCTTTTAGTGCCTCTGCTGGAATGTTGTCCGGTCCTGCTGCTTTGCCACTCTTGATTTGTCTGATGGCCATGCTGATTTCTTCAATTGTTGGTGGGCCAACATTGATTGGGAGGTCCGTGGGTGCTGCTTCGATGTTGGGTGGGTTCAGTGGAGCTGGTCGATTCAAGAGTTCTTTGAAGTGTTCTACCCACCTGTTTTGTTGCTCTTCAATGTTGGTGATTAACTCACCTTCCTTGCCTTTCACTGGTCGTTCTGGTTTGCGGTGATTTCCAGAGAGTTTCTTTGTCGTGTCATACAATTGTCTCATGTTTCCTTCTCCTGCAGCCTTTTCCGGCGTCGTTGCTAAATCTTCCACATATTTACCTCTGTCAGTTCTGATGCTCTTCTTCACTTGTTTGTTTACTTCTGTGTATTCAGCTTGTGCCTTGGCTTTTTCCGATCTTGTTCGGCTGGCATCGATTGCTGCCTTCTTGTTTCTCCTTTCTTGAATCTTATCCAGTGTATCACCAGTGACCCATTTCTCGTGATCGTGCTTCTTGTCAGCCGAGAATCTCATGCCATGTTGAAGTGACTGCCTTTTTGACTCCTTTCCAGTTGTTCTCCATGGTAGTTCCCTCTCCATTGAGTAGATTGTGAAAGGCCTGTAACCTGTTGGTGAGGGCTATCTTGAATTCTCTGAGTCTGTCAGTATCTTGAAAGGCCGTATTAAACATTTATGATGTTGTCCACCACGTTGTCCAGTACTTCTTGAGTTTCAATTTTATCTTGGCGACCAGCAAGTGATGATCTGATGCTATATCAGCTCCTCTCTTGGTTCTCATATCCTCCGCCGTCTTCCTGAACTTTTTGTTGATGCAGATATGGTCAATTCGGTTCTGTGTAGTGTGATCCGAGGAAGTTCATGTTGCTTTGTGTGTGCGTTTACGTGAAAATATAGTGCCTCCTATGACCAGTTTATTGAAGGCACATAGGTTTCCAAACCTCTCACCATTTTCGTTTCTTTCTCCCAGTCCGTGTCGTCCCATGATGTCTTCATATCCAGTGTTGTTCGTTCCAACCTTGGTGTTGAAATCTTCCATCAGAATGGTCAGGTCCTTTGTTGGGCACTTCTCGACGATTGACTGCAGCCTATTGTAGAATTGATCTTTAAAGTCTTCATTGTGGTCGTTGGTAGGTGCATAGTATTGGATGATGTTCATTGTAATGCCCTCTTTCTTTGTTTTGAAGGAGGTTTCGATGATCTTTGGTCTATGGGAATCCCATTCTATAAGTGCATTTTGTGCTTGTTTGGACAGCATCAATGCAACTCCTTGTGTATGTGGGGCATTTTCTTCTTCATGGCCGGAGTATAACAGAAGCTCCCCTGAAGCCATTCGTTGTTGTCTAACTTGCGTCTAATGTGTTTCACTGATCCCAAGCACCTCTGGGTTGTATTTCCTCATTTCTGAAGCAATTTGGAAGACTCTCCTAGTCTCCCACATTGTACGAGCATTCCATGTACCTAAATAAATGGTTGCTTCGGTTGTCAGTTTATTGTAAACTGTATTCGCTTAAAAAATGTTAAAAAACATATTAAATTAAAGTTAGTTACCTCATATCCTTTAGTTACAGCTTTACACCAATCAAGCATAATCTGTTTTGCATTAGGTTGTGCTCCTTTTCCACCGGATGCGAAACTGTAATGTAATTAATAATCAATAAACGAAATACCTATTTTGCTATTGTAATAAATATATTTTTGTTATATTTAAGTGAGTAGAAAAATTGTATTTCGCAACTTAATGTAAGCCGCTTCTTCAGAGTAAATAAATAATAGGCATTAAATTAACACGTGTTTAGATAGTACAAAGGAAACAATGAAACTATTAAGTCTAACCTTGTTATTGATACCCATTTTGTTATTGTATTTTAATCTTTGATATTATAGTTCGAAATTTTGGGTATGTGGTGAAATGAATGCATGTTTATTGTAATAGTTATATTCAGTGCTATAGTTTGTATTAACTAAGATTTTGCAAAATCTTTAAATTCTTGTTAAGTAAAATGATGAAAAATAACTGGTTCATAATGATCGGCATATCGAGTTTTCAGCACATTTACATGTGATCTAACTAAATAGTTCAGTCGAAGCATTTTTCGACAATTTTTCTAGTGTATTAGTACTTCCCATTGTTCCGAACTAATTACAGAATCTGTCCAAATAGCATATTTGCAACTGTATAAGAAAATTATTTTTAGTAAACAAGTAACTTTGATGCAATTAAAGTTGAACGCTATCGACTGAAAAAGCTATTTTTCTGGTAAAAATACTTTAAGAAATACATAACTTGTAGTGGGATCCATTTGGTCGTTCAGAATATCTGAAATTCTACATCTTAATTGATGGTGTTTCACACTTCCGATGGTACATCATGTAGTTCAACCTCCTAAGGTGCAAATTTTCTACGTGTATCTGATAATACTGGACTCATGTAAATTAATATTACCAATGGTTTGTGAGCTTCATATTTTACATTTATTTTTAAATATATCATTGGATATTCAGTTTCCTAATAACTTAGTTTATACAAAATTCTAGAATCAGAATGCGATATAAAGTTGATAATTTACTGATCATTTGGTGTATTGTTGCCACAAATATAACTTTTGAACACAAAAAGTATTCAGCATGTAAAAACACTGAAATTGTAAAAAGAAATCATGTATATCTGTTCGTTAACGGAACCCAACAGCAACAGAAAAGTACTATGAGTGTAAATAAATGAAAAGAGACACTTCAATTACGTGTAGATCCCCAATATCCTGCAACAAATAAGTGTAATATTTAAAATATTGAATTATTTCTATCATTGTGAAGATACGTACGAAAAGTCATTTCTGAAGCATTAGTAAATGATATTATATTTGAGTAGTATGCATAGTTATACACCATTTCTGTGTGAGCTGTTAAGTACTATCATTATGATAGTATGGATGAATTCAATAGACGACATTTTGTATGAACTCGTTACATTGTGGAATAAGGTCTCTCTCCAACATTAGTTTCATTACTTACGTATATATTTGTAAGGTTTAATTATGTGACCTCTTTTATGTTACTTGTATATAGTAAACGGGTACATTAAAGCGTTTAACATAACTTCAGAGCATTTAAAATTAATTTAAGTTATTTTACTCTTCTGACCACTTAAAAACTTATTTTTACGAATTTAAGTAACTCGGATTTGTGTTGTTTCCGCCTCGAACCATTACAAATCATCGTGAAAGAGAAGTATTCATAAGTTTCATTGACCTTCACGGTGAGCAACAGTCTTGAATTAGACTATTATGTTTGTTACAACTGCGATCATCTAATACTATATCACATGTTTGAATAATTACAACTGAGCTATGTAGATTGTAATTAAGGTTTTTAACAGGATTATATATTCGAATTATTTAACGCCTATCAGCTAACTTACGTCAACATTATGTTATAAAAGCATTTTACATTTCAAGTAATAGGCTTTCTTCATGCAAAACACATAGTTATAAGACTATCGAGAAATAGGTTAATGTGATTTAGACATTGATTAGTTTGTTTACTACGAACGTTTCTTCACCAATCCTTCTCGTAACCAGTTTATCAATTCATAATTTATTTATCACAAAGGTGTGCTGTAACTCAGTAATCAGGCAAATTCTTGATTTCAGTTTCACGTTCTTGCTTGAGGGTCATTAATACTATCCAACTGGGTAAGATGACAAAGGTACGGTGGGGTTCAAGTTGACGGCTAAATAACTAGTTAACGAATACTTAAATAATAACATTTGTTTACTCTCTGTATTATTTATTTATCCGAACTATTTCTTTGAATAAAGTAACAAACAAAATAAATCTTATGTATTAACTGAATAAAATGTTTTACAGTATGGTTTTTTTCTAAAAAAATTTAATTTACAACTCCTACTTTGGTTTTGCACCCTGTGGATTGTTCGCTTTATCCATCGCTTTGAATTTATTCATTGTATGCGAGAATGTAGAATGATGTCTGGAAATAGTAAGGAAAAACAAATTAAAAACATTGTTTTGTATAAATAAGAAAGACATTAAGAAACAGTTAATCGGACTACGGGTGAATTAAGCATGTTTTTTTAGAGTAATGATGTAACATAATGATATGATTATGATGTTTCTTTCTTCAACAGATTAACAAGTTTATTGAACCAATCTTAGTGAAATACTTGATCTTACTGAAAAGTTTAGCAATTCAAAAGAAAGTAGGAGAATCTGATGAATGATTAATTAGACTGAATATTGTGATATCCAGTTTTCTTTTACCTTAATTTAAAAAAAACATATGTGGAAAACAATCATTGGAACCATGAAAAAGTGAAAATAGACAAAATGCATTCGGGATCTGAAAGTTTGAAAATATTAAATAACTAATATTTGCCGAATTTTAAAGGAAAAAATCTTTTCACAAGTTGAAATCATGAATCAATTGAAGCTAGACCACCATGGAAAACCTGGAAGCACTGGACAGCCGTTTCGTCCTGGTATGGGACTCCTCAGCAGTGCGCATTCACGATCCCGCACCACGCGGGGATCGAACCCAGGACCTACTGGTTTCGCGCGCGAGCACTTAACCATTGGACCACTGAGCCGGTATCCAACGGTGTTAATGTCTAACTTCAACCAATCCACGAAGTTGCGCCACCGTACACCATTGTCTTCAGTGAGTTCCTATCTCACAACAGACCTGGTTCAACTCCACTGGTAACGACTTCTCACTAGAACTCCAGGAGTATCTCCTGAAGTCAGTCACTAGTGAGCAGGTGATTATTATTATCAGAATGGGTTTTGTGGAAATTTTTAGAAATTTCACAAGTTGAAATCATGAGTCAATTGAAGCTAGACCACCATGGAAAACCTGGAAGCACTGGACGGCCGTTTCGTTGAATTTGCACTTAATGGAATGGTGTATTTATATATTTGTAGGGAATATATTATTTATCATTGCAATATACTTTAATTCTCTATTAGTTAAGAATTTGTAGGACTGACGATTAGTAGTAAATTACACATATAGTGGTAATTATCTATAAAGTGTAAATAACTTTGATAATAGAGAACCTGACATTATAACAAACTAGATTGGTAAATGAGTATAGGAAAAAGTCGAATTTTCAAACTATCGATAATAGTATGTTTTCGATGTAAATAGTAAACACTATTGTCACATGAATTATAATTACAAACCAAGTCAGTAAGTGTCTAAGTTTAGTAAACCGAGGTAACAGATAAAAAAGCCTTAGTGAAGTCAGTAAAGTGATTAAGTAAGAATCTAAATTTTTCAATGCATTTCACATTATATTTTGGTATAACAATTACGTTATATACTTAAAACGTGTTCTTTTGAACTCAAACACTTAAAATTCAGGCTATTATTAACTTATATCATCTTGGTAGTTTTATATCATGAGTTTACCCAAGCTAGACGACTGTTGAAAACTGTGAAGTACTGGATAATCATTTATTATCAGTACTGGACTCCTAAATAACACAAATCTCCGATCCAACCAGAAATCAAACTAAAAACTTTCAGGTGTTTCTCCGAGCGTTTAACCTTACGATCATTGATCTACATTTCTAACTCCGTTTGATTTGTAATATTGAGCGACCACTATGTACTGGAAATGGCAATGTTTAGTGGAGCTAGACCGATAACTGATTCTTATTAGAACTCAGAGACTTAGCTCTAGAAGTTAGTTACTAGTGAACGCTTGATTAATTTCTGGTATAAAGGGTCAACTTATCATTTACAAAAAGGTCAATCATAGCGACTAGTCTATCCAATCTTACTTATATACATTTATCTTGTTTCATGCATACTACGTCCAACGTAATGAAGTAAAAATGTGATCTACAGCGATTTTTGTATATTTACAAATTAATAAGTTAACATGACACTGTATTCCTATTATTTAAATAGACTCTTTATACAAGCAAGAATAATACATTCTATTCAAGTCGATTGTCTCAAAGGAAGTTTCTATTTTAATATGAAATTTATTCTATAACAGATGTTTATGATAAAAATGAAGTATAATCTTCACAGTATGTAACGAATTTAACTATTATCTACCTACTTATCTGAAGTTTTTCGAATTATATAAACTTTGTTTATGACACAAATTGAACTGATAATCATATTAACTTAGTATATTATAATGTTTTATTAAATAGTGTCAATCAAACATAATTCAATGTGAGCGAACATGTTCTGAATATAAACAAAGATGAATCTTTACATATTATAATTAATAAATAGTAAATCTAAAGGAATAAATGCTATCACCAATTAAACTTACCTTCTTAAAGTGGTCATGTTTCCAGACATTGTAGTATGTATGATAAAATATCTTACAATATCCTAAGTGTTTATTTAATCCTTAAATGATAAGATTAGCAATATGGATGCTTTCTATTATTCAGTTGAAATAAAGTTGATAGAAGAAGTAGAAAACACAACTCTAGAGATGAAAAAGTACTTAAATATTAAGAATTTTTTATATTGTTTCAGGCAAATCACAATACTATACTCTGTTAATCAATAAGTGAACTCAAGACATGCTTCGTGTGTCAGTTTTTCTTTTCAGTAAAATAGTTCATACATTGGTTATATACTCAACTGAATAATAACTTCAAGAAAAAAAAGTTATCTTGATGACATAATCACGTGACAAGTAATAGAGATCTACAATTGTATTATGAATGATAAGTAAATAGTAAATGCTGGTCACTTTAATTTTATGCGCTTACTTAAAAACAAAAAAAAAACATTATATTTTTTAGTGAAGTTTTAACAAAAGAAAATTTTACTCATTCATTGATCGCATTACAAAAACAAGACATAATTTGCGATTACTCCAAGTCAACGTTGAAAATCACTGGAGTAAGATCATGTGAACTGTCGAATATAAAATAAGTATTTCAATGATTGTATGCTTTCAAATAGATCTTCAAGTCAATCTGGTCAGAATCTAAATGTATATTCTCGAATCATTCCAATTGAAACCCATCTTCAAATTATATAAATTCCAGTAAACCGTACAATTATGCAGAAAGATAACCAGTTTTCTAAGTTAGAAGCTTTGGATTGTGTATACTGTATATTTCTAACGAATTAACATAAACGGTTTGATACGTGAATAAGAAAAAGTTGTTCCTAGGAGAACTATACTTATAAAAGATCATTTCTTCATATATATTATAGTCATTTTATTAAAAAAACTAATAATATTAAGTATCAATAAGGGAAGTGATGTGATTTTCAGAACACACACTTTAAATTAACCAATAGAGTCAACCACTACTTACTTTCATCAATAAAGTAAAAGAAACTATAAGCTATTATATAGAATCAAAATGATTTTTATTAAAGGCAAGCATTCTATTCAATGCACAAAAAAGCTACATTAACATTATAGCTATTGTCGAAACATTTGATTTATATTCTTCTCATTGAAATCATGAACCGATTTAATTCAGAACATTATTGAAAACCTGGAAGCACTAGGGGGACGTTCTTTTTTAGTATAGGACTCGTCACAGGCACTCACCGTCGACCATTAACGGGGGAATCGAACACGTTCAATGCCTTATCAATAGACCTCTGAGTTGACATCCAGCGGTGTTCATGTCTAACTGCAATCCATCTAAGACATTGCATAACCATCTTTGATTATCTTCTGTGGGTAACTGCCTCACACTCGACACGAACTAACTCCACTGATCATTGCTTTTCACTAGGACTTTGGAAATTCCCTCTCGAAACAAATCACTTGTCAGCACATGATAACTGTCAGTAAGAGGCTGTAATCTTTGGAATACTTAAATTTGAAGAAAATCGTCATGTAAAGAATCTGAAAATCTTAAACAAATCGTGAACGAACTGTTATTAAGCCCATTATTGTATAGGTAATGTAAGCATAGAAACATTTTTAGAGGTTCTAGACTATAGATCCATTGTATTACGACTTAATGTTTTTTACTTTGATGTTCATCATAATTAAAAAAAATGTTGATTGCTGGAATAAAATTGGATTAGCAGGTTGTAACGTAGTTTCAGTTGTAAGCAAGTCATTTATTTTAGATACTCAGTAGCATACTAACATGAATGCGTTTGCATGTTTGTTGTTGTTTACTAGCAAATATATCAAGCTGAATATTTGTATCACTAAGCATTCCTGATTTTAATAAATGAAGTATGAGATTCATTTCTATTCATTTCTATAAACTGGCAGTTAGTTTCATCGTACTTATGTGTACAATAGGTTCATGGAAATATTGTGAATAAACATTAACTGAATGGAAATTGATTTAATCAACAGGTTGTCGGAAGTCGACACTTCCACAATAACCTTACATTTTCAACTGTAAAAATGATGTTATAGTTAGAAAAAATATATACTTCAATATATTTACACTTGAATAATACTATTACTTCAGTTAAAATTGTTTCATTCATCATTTCTGAAGTATTACACATGAATCTTCAGTGAAGATAAGGATTGAATTAATTGTTTTCAAGAGCTCACTTAAACAAAACACAGTTTTGATTTAAACACCATCCTCAGTAGAAAACAACGATGATAAAACACTGGATAAACTATTTTAAGGTCTAAATGTTGTTGTCATTGTTGTCAATGTTTTACTTTACAATGGAATTATTCGAACATCAATGGTGTTGAAGATTAGTTAGAAAATGAAATAGGTGTTAGTTAATAGGCTTTTACATTTGAGTTGAGAGATTGATTCTCTGAAGATATCACATTTTGTAGATACATTTCATTGCAATAATCTATCAGACTAAACTCCTAATGCTTAATGTTTTATAGAGGAGCTCAAATAACAACGAATATGTGGTGCTGTGAGATTAGTTTCTTTGACAAACTTTGTAAAACAATAACAACGAACAATATAGTATGAAATGAATACATTTCATTCACTGAGGTGTGTAATTAAATAAAATATTACATATATTCGCGCCCAATGGTGACACCGAGGCTAAAAGATGAATTATCCAGAATGACCACCTCATTTTGTACTTATCAGTTCGACTGCGGCTGTGGAGATTGTTATATTGGTTGAAGTTCTAGGAATTTACATTTTCGTGCTACCCGACCCTTCCCTTCGTGGCTAAGCAAAGGTCTGGTGAAGAAAGTGAACTGCTCGACACCGGTCCATTTAGTACAAACTAGTCATAGTGCCAGTCTAAACCAATCCTTTTCAATGATTTATCGGGTCGGTAATTTTTGCCAAAGCTTGTAAGACTTAAAGTCTTGCAAACAACTGAAGCAGTAGTCATCCAGACTCAGAAACCTGAGCTGTTCGAACAAACGAAATACCTTCAATGACTTCTCCTCCTTTGGCCAACCTCTAAGCGAATTAATCAACAGTAATCTTAACTATTGAATGACCTTATTTGACTATTGTACTTACGATCTTTCGCAGTCAAATGTAATTGTCTGTTAGCTTTATTCATAAATCTTTGAAATATTATTATTATTATCAGAGAGGGGTTTTGTGGACATTATAGTAATTTAATAGTTAAATTCATTAGTCAACTAAAGCTAGACCACCATGGAAAACCAGTGCTTCGAGTGACTCATGAATCCAACTATTAAATTATTATTATCATTATTACCAATGGTTAAACATCATTATTAATCTCCCCAATACATGATTCATTTACTTCGCGTTCATTTCAATTTATTTTTTATACATTATAGTCTTCCACTAAACATTTGATCGAATTGTAACTGCACTATTATCTCTTTCACCCTATCTGACCCATATTTATGCTGATCATGGATCTTAAATTTCCACTCAACATATGAGTTATATCAATATTAAAAATTTTATTCTATTTTGTTCGACAATCCTGAATTCACATGTTATAATTTTAAACGATGCACGTTACCCTTAACCTGGCCATTTTTCGGATTATTAATTTGGATATACAGTTGTAGAACCTGAAAAGAATTTATCGAAAAGAATATTCTTCGTTTAAATATTAGTCTTATAAATAAGGTCATTTGTTCACTAGTGAAAAGTAATTATAAATACTTTCCATATCTGTATATATTCAATACATAGATCAACAGACTGCACAAACAAGGACAAATGAGTTTCCTTGAGTGAATGTGTCATTGTCGTCCTGTATCGGTTCATAGTAATGTATAATGGTAACTATAAAATTTATTTGATGCATTTCGTTTTATCTGTGATCGACCAGTTGGATGATGATATCTGTTATTGGATCCATGAGTATTGGCAAGATATTTTAGTGGAAATGTTAACAAACTGAAGTGTAAATCAGTGGTGACCAATGGAAAACATCTCGAATGACAAGTAAATAGTGAAGCAAACTGTAATCGTGCTCAAGTGATTATCGAAGTATGATCCTTGGCAATATGAAGTTGAATTCATGTGTTAATCGAAAACACATTGAAAGCATAAAGTCAAATCATATGAGAAAGTAAATATTTCATAAAATTATTGTTCTTATAAATTCTTATCCAACAGCTTTACATGATAAAAAAAATCTATGTATTCAGAGTTTTTACAATGCTGATGTTAATGAAACGTCGACAAGTGACCCAGTTTATGAATAGGCAACGTTAATTTTGCAAATCATAGGGTTTATTAAGTTAAAACATCCCTTGAACTAAAGTTTAAAAGAGAACAGCAATAAATATCTTTTTCGAATCAATTAATTTTAATGTTAACATTCAACAACAAGATTATTACAATGTGTAACACCATTTCAGAAGAAACTATCCTGAAAAATAAAATAAACATTCTGCCAAACTACGAAAACTTGTTTAATTAGATGGTACTAATTAAACATATGTTAATTTAATTCGTTTACTTATTTACTCTGAAGGAGTGGCTTTAATTAAGTCACGAAACGTCAGAAATACAAATTTCTCTACTCATTAAGATATAACAAAAAATAAACCCAAACTTTCTATCCAATGCCCAATTTATTTGAGACTATCAAGTTCAACCATGACAATGATACCTAGAAAAAGTAATTAGTTTATAAACATTGATAGTTTTGAAACTTTTAATCCAGATATCAAATGAAAAGAACCTTAATTTTGAAGCTTTTCTGAATCAACTTCATTCATATTAAACTATACACATTAAAAATTAAATACTCTACTCAAAGATCATTTCATTATAGCTCTTAATACTATCAAGATATTATTCAAATATATCGTATATTTACATATAATAAGTTAAAAGTTTCGATTTTGATTAAAGAGAATAACAATTAATTAGAACTTATGATTTACAGTGAATCATTTTCTAGTTCTACTACAATTAATTGACCTACTATTAGTGTCATTTTTCTAGTTTAGTAAAAGATCAGTTTCATTGATTTTTGAGTATTAACTAATCAGAAAAATCAAGTCGATCAGTTCACATTTTATTTATAATCTATAAACTAATAAGTAATATAATAAATGAGTAAAGAACTAGACATTAAAGGTCAAGAAAGTTATTGAAAATCAGGTCAGTAAAGTAATGATTTTATATCCTATAAACATTTTCATAATAGAGAAAATAATTAACAAGCAAAGTTTGGAAAGTGGGAAGTTAAAAAACGTGAAAAAATAGGGATTCATTAAACAGAAGCAATGGGAGTAACATGGTTATTATGTTGTATTACATTTAAAATCTTAACAGTTAAGCCTGTTACTAATTTTCTGAAAGATAGGCTTTAAGAAATAAGTGGTTACATACGGATAATAGTTGAATTTATGAGTCGATGTAAGTTAGTGTTTTAGTGAGAAGCTGTGATCAGTGAAGTCCAATATGTGTCGGGTAGAAACAGGTATCTTACTCAGAAAATAGATGAATTGTTGTGCAGCCATTCATGGATCGATGGATGTTAGACTTTAACACCGTAGGACACCGGCTCAGTGGTCTAGAGGTTAAGCGTTCGTGCATGAGACCTATAGGTCCCAGGTTTGAATCCCACGTGCGGGATCGTGAATGCTCACTGTTGAGGAGTCTTATACTGGGAAGAAACGGCCGTCCAGTGCTTCCAGGTCTTCAGTTGTGGTCTATCATACATGGACTCTTGAATTCAGCTATTAAAATTACTGCGATCTCCACAAACCCCGTTCTGATCATAAAGTGTGGATAAAACAAACCT